CCGGTATATCACTGTAATGTTACAAGTTCCTTCCTGTTGCGACGTAAATATAGTGGGCCCACTACGAAGCCTTGCCGAGCGAGGCTTCTAGAAAAAACCAAGCGCCCTTCGGACCTTTGGTCGAGCGCTCTAATCTTCTAAGTAAATAATAGAAGTATGCCTTGAGTCACCAGTAATGTATCTTCCGATGAGGTTCGAGTCATCGACCCAAAGGTGAATCTGATAAGCGCTTGTTCTGGAACGTTCGAAGCCGCAACGGTCAGTTGTCACAAAGAACTGCGGACATATATATATAGGGCCAACGGTCACGGCAGGACACTTCGAAGTCGTCCCTCGTAGAATACAGATCGAGCCCTTTTCCGCGTTCGTCGCTAAGATATATCGAGGCCGAGTCCTCGCGTTCGTGCGTTTGTGCGTACCAGAGACCAAGCTCTCCGGTAAGACATATCGAGACCAAGTCCTCGCGTTCATGTAATTTCGAATAAAACAAAACTAAAACAAACGAAACTAGTGTACGGACCTAAACTCACACACACGCAACATTTTGGTGCCTCCTGTGAGGTCGTTCACAGTACGAACGTGAACGACCACCGTAAGAACATACGAATTGTCGAGCGAACAGCGGCTAAGAAGGAAGGATGATCAAGGCGATCACGACTTCAGGACTACGACATTGGCTCTTGCAACCAATCACACAACCCTCAGGACGAGTACGCAACGAGATCAAGGCTAAGGGCAAGTCCATTCCAAATATAAATCAAGTGGCCGATTAAGCAATTTCCGTTACCTACTCCCAAACAACAATATGGCAGGTCGAATTAAGTTATTAATTCAAAAGCGAACGTCATTAAAATCTCAAATTACGGGTTTGACGAATCTGGTTGAGAGAGGCAGTTACGATAAGGCCGCGTTAAGGTTAAGGATGGCCCGCACAACCGACTTGTATCACGCGTTCGAAGAATTTAACGACGAGCTCGTACTATTAGATCCGAACGACACTCATAAAGACGAATTCACTAACGTACAGGAAAGATTTTATTCACTCGCAAGTAAAGTGGAAGAGATAGTAAGTTCCACCGTTTCGACCGCGAGTACCGGTGTCACTATTAGCGCGTCGCAACCCAGCGATTCTGAGACCACGGCGATCGTAAAACGGCGAGTAAAATTGCCGGAAGCGTCTCTACCGAAATTTGACGGCCAATACGAGAATTGGCTGTCCTTCAAAAATACTTTTCTCGTTATGATCGATTCACAAACAGACTTGAGCGAAGTACAAAAATTGCAATACTTAAAATCGGCGTTAACGGGCGAGGCAGCTAATAAATTAAAGATTCTATCGATCGAAGGCTCAAATTATCAAAAGGCATGGGAACTGTTGAAACGCTCGTACGAAGTTAAGCGGATATTAATTTCACGCCACCTTTCGTTGCTCTTAAACACACCCGTTTTAGAAAAGGAGACAACCGACGGCTTGTCCAAGCTTGCCGATGACACGCAGCAACATGTAGCATCGTTAGCCGCGTTAGGAGTTAACGTGGGGTCCGAGATACTTGTAAACGTACTAGAAAGCAAATTACCTAGGAGCGTAGCGGAGAAATGGGAGGAATCTCTGGATCGGGACGAATTTCCGAAGATCGACGATTTATACGAATTTTTATATAGAACCGCAGTTCGTATATCTAAGCGTGTTCGCGCAGGAACGACCAGACAAGCCGAGGACAGATCGACACCTCCCGGGAAAAAGGCGCGAATATCCAACAAGGCATTTGTGGTTAATATTGCGAATAATTGCCCAGCCTGTAAAAATAAGCAACATCCGTTATTTAAGTGCGACAATTTCAAGCAATTATCTGTGCCGAAGCGCATCGAATGCGTGAAAAACGCGATGCTTTGTTATAACTGCTTACGTTCACATCGTGGTAAACCTTGCAATTATTCACACTGTACCATTTGCCAAAGGCGACATAATACGCTTTTACATCTTGAGAAAACCCAAGTCGCATCCACGACACCGGACGCGCGGTCGTCAAGGGGGAACAAGGCGCATGACGTATAAAGGGGGGTGGTCACGCAACGACGTGTCTCGCAGCGATCACACCCATTTTCACACCACAATTGATGACCACCGCGACGATATTTATTCGGGATCGTGAACTCAAGTCAATTAAGTGTCGCGCCTTGTTGGATACATGTGCTACCGCCAATTTCATTTCCGAGGGTCTCGCGAGACGTCTAAGGCTCCCTATAACTACATGCGCATTGCCAGTCGGTGCAATCAATTCAATGAACACGATTTCAAAAGGTGTCATTCGAATCACTATTCAATCGCTACACAGTGAGTTCCGCAAGGACTTGCGAGATTCCATCACAATACCGTCCAATATAAAATTAGCTGATCCAGAGTTTCATTTGCCGCGTCCTGTTGATTTGCTGATTGGTGCGGGGGCGACATTGTCATTATTCTCCATAGGCCAGATCAATCTATCGATACGAGATAACGATTTATATCTACAAAAGACGTGTCTCGGCTGGATCGTAGCGGGCGGAAGCGCGTCGCGGAATCAGCCGAAAACTGCGATATGTAAATTGACTGGTCTAGATCAACAGATCGCGAGATTCTGGGTGATTGAGGAGATATCTGATCCCACCGTTACGCCGAAATCTAACGAGGAACTCGAATGCGAAGAGCATTTCACTAAATTTGTTACTCGCAACCGCGACGGTCGCTATACGGTGAGACTACCATTTCGCAAGGATAAGATGAGCCTCGGCGATTCGCGAACCGTCGCTCTCAAACGTTTAAATTCGCTCGAACGGAAGCTCGACTCAGATCCATTGTTAAGGGCCGCCTATTCGCAAGTAATACAGGAATATTTAGATCTGAAACAGATGATTCCGGTGAATAACCCTTCCAATGAAGGATTTTATATGCCGCACCATACGGTAATCAAATCATCGAGTAGCACGACCCGGGTTCGTGTCGTGTTCGATGCATCGGCAAAAACGAGTAATGGCACATCGTTAAACGATAGGTTATTGGTGGGGCCGACTATTCAAGATACGTTATTCGTTCACTTAATTCGATTCCGTACGTATAAATATGTTCTCACAGCAGATATAGAAAAGATGTATAGGCAGATATTGTTGCACGAGGATGATCAGATATACCAACGAATCCTCTGGCGCCAGAACGATCAAATAAAGACTTTGCAACTTAACACCCTTACATTCGGCGTATCCTCGTCACCGTATCTGGCTATACGAACAATTCAAAAACTAGCCGATGATGAGCACGACGCATATCCTGACGCCGCCCGAGTTCTCAAGACGCACTTATACGTAGATGACTTACTTACAGGTACGAATACCGTTAGCGAAGCTCGCGCGTTGCGGGATGACATAATCACGGTACTTTCTCGAGGCGGTTTTAATATCCGACAATGGGCGTCGAACGACGAACGTATCATTAACGATTTAACCCCCGATGCGGTGAATACTAGTCTCATGCTCGATAAAAACAACCCCTTGAAAACATTAGGCATAGCATGGCGCGCACACAACGACAAGTTATGTTACTCGGTCCGCTCGATCGATCACGCCGAAAGAATCACAAAGCGAACGATTTTTTCCGAAATCGCAAAGATTTTTGATCCTTTAGGCGTCTTAGGCCCTGTCATATTATACGCTAAAAAATTGATGCAGAATTTATGGCAGTGCAAGGTAGATTGGGATGAATCCGTCCCATCCAATATACACAAAACGTGGATAGAGTTTGCGACTCAATTAGATTTAATGAATGAGCTATCCATGGATCGCCCTGTGTTGATTTCGGATTACACCGATGTTCAAATACATGGATTTAGCGACGCGAGTAACATCGGTTACGGTGCCTGCATTTACCTTCGTTCGACCGATCAACGCAACAATGTACGTTGTCGTCTACTTTGTGCGAAATCTCGCGTCGCACCATTAAAAACTGTGACGATACCTCGCCTCGAATTATGCGGTGCGCTCCTGCTAGCCAAATTATATCGCGAAGTGCATCGTGCGTTAGGAATATCCCCTAGCAAGACGGTATTATGGAGCGACTCGACCATTGCGTTACATTGGGTGAAAACTCCACCTCATCTATTAAAAACGTACGTGTCCCACCGCGTTGCTCAAATCCAAGAAATTACTGACTTACAAGCTTGGCGACATATTCGATCCGAGGATAATCCGGCCGACGCGCTATCACGGGGTCAGTTACCGCAGGCTTTCCTGAATAACCAATCATGGTTTTCCGGACCATTGTGGCTAACGAAAGAGGAAGGCGAATGGCCTAACGGTATCGTAGAATTAAAGGAATTACCCGAATTACGAAAAAATATATGTATAGCGACGGTCTCTAACGATTGTAGCTTCCTTAAGAAATATTCGTCATATTCACGATTATTAAAAATCACTGCATTATGCCTACGTTTTCGACCCAAGAACACTTACCGCGGGCAGCTAGGCATAACAGAAATAAATTACGCGGAAACGAGAATTATAAGGATCATTCAAAAATCTTGTTTTTCACGCGAATTGAATGAACTTGCGAATGGGCGCCCGGTAAAGAAAGGCAATATTGCCGCGCTAAATCCGTTCCTCGACGAAAATGGGTTGATTCGCGTCGGCGGACGCCTCAGGCTATCAAAGTTAGCCTTCTCGCAAAAACACCCAATTTTACTACCAAGTCATTATTTCTTAACGGATTTAATTATAAGAGAAACGCATGAAAAATACTACCACGCCGGCATACAAACGACTTTGTATACGATTAGACGCAAATTTTGGCTACTCGACGGTCGAAACCAGGTGCGTAAAATCATACGATCATGCATACGTTGCTTTCGATTCAACGCCGGCTCGGTCGATTACAAAATGGGCGATTTACCTAAAGCCCGAGTGAGTAACGCGACTCCCTTTGATAATACCGGGATCGATTTCTGCGGCCCTTTCTACATTAAGGAGAAAAAGTATCGAAATCAAAAGCGAATCAAAGTATACGTGTGTGTGTTCGTATGTATGGCCGTAAAGGCAGTACATTTAGAAATCGTAAGCGACATGACCACCGATGGTTTTTTAGCAGCCTTGCGTCGCTTTATAGCGAGACGAGGGATACCGACACGCGTCTATTCGGACAATGGAACTAACTTTGCAGGTGCGAATAATCACCTGAGAAAACTATATGTTCTATTCAACTCCGATGAACACAGGAATCGTACGAATCGATTCTCGGTTGAACATCACATTACGTGGCACTTTATACCTCCCATAGCTCCACATTTCGGTGGACTATGGGAATCCACTGTAAAACTAATGTACACCAACAATAAAGCCAATAGATGAAACTATGCCTAGCCAATTCCAAACCTCTGTAAATCACAACAGCAGATTGAGGTTACACAATGTAACATACTTTCTTGTAACTTTTCTGCACAACGTTTGTGGTATCCGAAAATTTCTTGCTTTTTACTCTCTGACCAAGCGTGGCTTTGAATTTCATAGCTGCTTTTCTTGGCTGATCAGCATGAAATGTATTTTCATCTTTTATCTCTTTGCGTTTCATCCTATTTAATCGTTGTGCCTCCAGGATACACTTATCATAATCTTCTATAAAAGATAATAGTTATAATAAAATTTAAAAAAATTTCATTCCAGAAACGTTATCTTGTAAACACATTGAAAGACTTCATGGTTGTAGCTCTAATGTAGCATGTTTGTAGCATGCTTTGTAGCTCTAATGAAAAAGAATAAAACGTTTTGAAATAGAATATTTGAAATCACTGCAGAACATAAACGTATTCTTTCAATGTACATTAAAACTATATAATAGAGATAATCACATCAACTCCAAGGAAAAGCCTAGATTAGTAGAATAACCTAATCTACCGTAACATAGATGAGTTTTGCATTACTCGAAGGATTAATAAATATTCGGTGTATATCCGATGGTATATGTCACAAAGAAAACATCGCTTATTGTAACTTACCATTAATGAATCGAATTTTCCCACACATTGTTTTTTATTCCACAGGAAAGTTACTTTGTTGTCTACTTTAACTGTCTTTTCATCGTATATAACATCGACATGGGACACTATTGAGAATGACTTTTCCGATTCTTCTTCAATGACAAACCATAGTTCGTTAGGCATTATTAAAAAATCAAAAAATATATTGAAAGAAGAAAGACAAATAAATTCTGTAGCTACACAAATGCTTTGTTCTCACACTGGCGAATTTGGGAAAACTGTGAACGCGACGATGCTCATCTGTTGCAGGGCTCAGGCCTGTTGCATATACAGGGTGAGTTATAACATTTGTCCACGAGCTCGTGAGAAGGTAGAACGGATCGAGATGAACAGAAAAGTCCTGAAACATTTTGCAATTTTCGCAATAGTTAACGAGAAAAAAATTATCGAAAATCGTCGTCTTTGCCTTGCCCACTGTCCAATTCGAGCGCGTAGCGAGATGTGACCGCCCGGCGATCGATATTGCCTGGCGAGGGGGGAAGGGGGGGACAGCGCGCAGTTGCCGGCGAGTTGTTTACGTCGCCGCTCCCGCGTCTCGCGTCCCCATCCCTCGCCTGGCAATATCGA